GTACGGTTGGTCAGCACACCTAAGCTTACACACAATATGTTATTGCTACTGTATTGACTGATAGCAACCTGCCCCTTAAATAACCTAATAGTGTTGATAGGGGCGTTAAACCTATACCATTTCACCATTTTTTTTACTGATAGCAATTAAGTGCTGGAACTTGTGTCCAATACAATCACTGGTAACACACAAACAGGAAAACATTTATATTACAGGGTCAACTATGTAATGGACCAAAGGGTCCCTGTGAGTCAAGCGGACACGAACGATTAACATAAATCATTTTATATTTATATATTATAGTTTGAACATTAGCAACCCTCCCTAAACTGTCACACCACCCTCCACCCCCAAATAAACCAACACAAAATGAGTTTCCTAAACGCAGTTTTCATACCCACAAATTTGGCACTCAAAACACAATAAATAAGAAAACATATACATGTAACTACATAGCCAGTATACTATACCCTAGTCTATTCTTGACAAGCAGAAAGAATAATAAGCTACTTGCACCAACAGGACTGACCCCCAAGGTGTTCAAGGAAGGTTTCGGCAAGGAGGGCAGACAGAGGTTCTACCTACGTGGACAGAGCCTGACCAAGAAACAGGTCAAGAGCGGGGACGTACCCTATGACCTCAGCCCGGAGGAGAAGGCCAACCAGGGACGTCTGGTCGAGTGAGTCTAGGGAGACTTGACTGGTGGTGGTGGTTGTTGTTGTTGCTGTTTTTGGTATCGTTTTTGTTATCATTATCATTTTTTTAGCTATTGTTGTTGTTGATGTTGTCGTCGTTATTGTTGTTATTTTGATTCGTTTTGATCATGTTTTTGTGGTTGTTTAGATGTAAAAATTGTCCTTGGTTTTGCTGTTTTTGCTGATGTTGTTTATGTTGCTGTTTTTGTTTGTGGTATTGTTTACCTGTCTCTAAGATATTGCAAGTCTCTTGGACGTGAGAGTAGGAAATGAGAGGTGATGATATAGGAGCCAGATAGAAGAAAACTGATCTTGCCCACCATGAGGTTCGAATATCAGACGCCTGTGTAGTCAACTTGAATTACTTGAATGTAGAACTGGGGTCTTATGAAGACGGGTTGCTCCATGCTTCCTCGCCCCTCTTCATGAGGGTCCATTTCAGTGTGAGCAGGCTGATTGTCTCCATCATCAGCTGGTTGTTGTAGCGTCTGATGTAGTCAAGCAGCCTGCTCTCCCATCCCTAACTGTGTGATAGTGTTCTTCAGTCAATATTAACAGCTAATATTATGGATTGTAAAAATTACTTACATATTAGATCTTCGACTTGTGAGTACTCTTTTCTATATAAGACGAACATTAGGAACAGACTAACAAGTTTAACCTACATTTGTCGGTTTCCCGCCCTCCACAGATACTACCTGGAGAAACTGACCGGATTACAGCTCAACGGCGGACCACTCAAACGGGAGGTGGCGCTCAAACTGACCGTGCCGGACGGCAGATTCCTATATGACCTCACGTGAGTCACTCACCAGTGAACTGTTCAAAGTGAGAGGCTAAAACAATACATATCTCACTCACCTGTAAACTTTTTATACTGAAAGACCTAAAAAATACATATCTCAAGGTAAATGTAGGACATCGCTACCCACCTATAATAGCTTCTACACAAAGTCTTTCTTGTAATGGTTAGTCTGCAAAGGACCTGGGTTTGTTGCATATCATAGGACAACATTTGCCGAGACAGACAAAGCCACAACAACTGACATTCAAAAAGGAGTCGTATTAATTGTTCATCAAGTTACCAAAATCCTTGTATAATTATGTCAATGACGCTGTAAATGATTTTCTCCAAGTTCCCCCAAACCCTTGTCAAACCCTTGTTAAAAATTATGTCAATGATGCTGTAAAAGATGTTGTCCACTTTCCCCCAATTCCCGTCAGGTTTGACGAAGCCCTGGACCTGGTGGCCTCCCCTGAGGGTAAAGAGTTCGCCCGAGACACGCATGTGTTTACCTCAGAGGTCACACTGGACGCGTCGGCTATCTCCATCTTCGATGACCACCTGGGAGAGGACTAGTTAGTGGCTATACAGCTCTTTCTTCATTCATTCAACCAATCATTCTCGCCCCACCGTCACTTCCCTGAATTTCATATTCAACACAATTAATTCTTAACAAATGCTGATATTCATTCTGTTATCTATTGACTCTTCCATCTACTTATTTATTCAAATTTGTGTATCATCATTTGAATTTCTTCGCGTTGACTATTATTATAAAGTGTACTCTAAATACATTTCACAAACCATACATAAAAGAAAAATATTATGTATGCACATGTCATTTTTCTATTTTTATCTCCGTCAAGAAATTCACCATTAATTATCACTCTTATACATTGATTAGAAACAAAACAAAATTTCAGAGAAGGAAAACAAAAGAAAGAAAAAAAACTAGCATTTAAAAGAAGTACATCCGTTCTTCCATCCTTCCATTCCCAGCTATGGCAGTGAGATCTACACCCTGGAGGAAGGAATGTCTTCTGTACCACAAGGACTGCTACAGACTTTTCTGGACGCCGCTAAATCGTGAGGACAGACATGTTCTAGAACTTTGGTTTTACTTAACTCTGTGGGAATACAGACTCGTAGGGGCATATTTGTTCCGAAACTTTTGATTTACTTAACTCTTTGAGGACCAGCGTTCTGGCCGTTCGTCAATGTTTTGTTTCATAACACAATGAAAAAATTAAAATGACTTCGTTACATCTACAATGTTCTCCTTTTGACACTTTAAAAAAGACGTATAAACAAAGTACATAACTTTCTTAGATTCAAAGTATGCATGTTGGTTAGAAATGTGCCATAAAATTGCCGTAACATGCTGCTGATCGTGCGTGCGCACGCGGACACCTACACACACAAATCTGTATTATATTAAATAGCTGAGGGAATTCTCTTACCCATAACCTAGGCAGCATGGTCTTTTA